ATGCAGACCTAAGGAAAAATGCTAATTTCCTTAACTTACAAAGAAATCCTATAATCCAAAGACTCAGCAACTCAAAAAGAAAAAAGTGATAAACAGCTAATTTAGGAAAATTAATATTCAAACCATGGCTATACACATACGAAAACATGTCAACTTTATCCTAAAAGAAGCCAGAATTGAAATTACAGTTTTCACATCTGATGAGAAAAAGGCACACAGCCGACAGTGCTGAGGGTGGGAGGAGACAGCTCCCAGGCCGCCCGTGGAGGGTGCACTCTGAGACACTCCACCAGTACGCCCCAAACTGCTGCGGTGGGAGGGACTGCGAGCCCAGCTGTCCTGGAGGCGGAGGCAGGAGGGCCACGAGCTGGAGGCCAGCCGGGCAACAAAGGGGATCACATCTCGACCGAGGGTCAGCTCTGGCCTCAGGTACCGAGATAAAGACGCCAGTTCCACTGAGTGGGATTGTTTTCCTCCAAGTACATGTGTACATAAAGAAACTGTGGAATATTTTACACTACAGAATATACTTATAATGGCTTCATCTGTGGCAAAATGTTAGAGATAGTATAAATTCCACCAGCCTTCAAGGGAATGACTCAGTAATTTATGATCTATACTCATAATGGCATACTAGGCAGCCACGAAAAAGAACAGCTTTGTACCATACTGGGAGAAGCCACCCCTCCAAACAAAGGCACAGAACACCATGCAAACACCTGAGTAGCTAACCACATAGAAAACCAAACAAGAAGCATGCAGACACGTATGTACTGAAGGCTGTGAATATCCTGAGGACTGCTCCAAAGACAAAGCCACAACCACTTCAACTTGAGGAGCACGCCATGCCTGAGGGGAAGGAAGCCCCCGGGGACTTAGATGTCACTCTATATATTCTTGGTGTTCTGAATTTTAAAAATGTTTAAAATATTTTCTATGTAGATAATGATGGTGGTGATGATACTGAAACTACAATCTGAGGAAGGCCCTGAGACAGCTGCGCAAGACATCAAAAGCGCTCTGAGAGGCTCAACGAGGGAACCAGAGCAGTGCAAGTGCAAAAGCTAAAGACAGATTTAGCAACAAATTCAATTACACGTATGGCCTTCATGTTCTGCACGGGAAACATTTACCCACAAGGAGATAGGATTTAGAATTCAAGCCGGAGTAGGTCATACCCAACACCAACTTTGCAAGACAACGCTGGAGCCCAGGCTGGGAACGGTAAACATGCTAGTACAACAGGATTAACGTGCCACTGAGTGACATGTTAGGAGATTCTGACATTTCAAAACGCATTACTAGAGAGAAGAAAGAAAAATCAATTCCACTCAGGGCATGAGGATGGCGTGATGGACGGGATGGCAAAGTCAGAGCCGAAACAAGGGCGTGGTGCAGACACAGAGGAGCTGCCCCTCCTCATCTCGGCACCAAGGTGCTGTGAGGAGCTGTGGGCACCTCTGGGACCTGCGCTGTCTCCAGGGAAGACTTTCATAGGTCAGGTCGCTTCACAATGAACTCCATGGGACTAAGCTGCATCTGACTTGAAACAAGTGACTTTAGCTGGGGCTTGGAAAACTGTTGCTGGAGTATTTCACTCTAGGAAAAGGATGTTAGTGATATTTAAAAATGTCTGTGCAAATAAAAAAAAGCACATGGCTCGCTGTTAAGGGCTCTGACATTACGGCGTGTGTGGACACCAGATCTCTCAAGGCAGGCACAGCTCAGCCACTCCAGGGTCCTCAAGCCACAGGGACAACACTGAGGCAGGGAGGGAAGAGAAGAGTATGCCAGGTCCCCTCAGGGCTGGGACACAGTGTGGGAACAGAGCATGTGCTCAGCATGCACTAGGCCTGGCGCACAATCCCAGCACCAAGAGAAAAGTTATGCTCAGCCTCACTGTTTGAGCAAAGACGCCCCCAGGGGACAAGTGCCATCTCACCTCTGGTCCTGCCACCCGTCTATGAAAGACAGGTGGCCTACAACCTGTAGGCCTCATTCCAGCCCAGACTCCCAAACTCTCCACCCTGGTATGAAGACAATGTCCTTTCTCTTGGAGTACATAAGTAGATGGGACTGTACCACACAGTGCAGTAATTGGTATCTCCTCTTCTCCAGCTGCGTCCCAGGGACAATGCTAAACACTGTGTGAATTACTTCACTGTAAATTGCTTACTTAGCAAGGAGAAAAATAGCATTACTTTTAGGAAATAAAACTCACTTATCCACTGCAGAGAAAACCAGTATGAACAATTTTCTAAGTGTCTGTCTTGTTTTGATATCTATACAGACAGGCAGGTTACCATTTATGAAATTGGAGTTGCGGAACACACAGTTTTTTAATTTGTCTTTCCTCCATGAGTATGGCAAGAATACATGCTCAAGTTCACGAACAGTAACTTAAAGAAATGTCACTTTAATGGCTACGTAGGGTGGTATCATTTGGATAACTAGACCGGGTTTCTTTTTTAGCTGACTTTAGAAATATTTTAACGTAATTTTTAGCTCAAATGTGTGGTTTTTTTTTCAGTTCAAATGTTTTAAGCTAATTTTTAAACAGCTTCAGACTTAGAAAACACTGCAAAGGAATTGCCATCTACATCCTCCTCCCAGTTTCTCCATGTTATCAATAACCAAAAAGATAGTACAATTACCAAACCTAGGAAAACAGATTCAATCCTGTTACTTTAAAGGCCTTATTCAGATTTGATCAGTTGACCTGCAGCTGTCCTAAGACTACAATCCAATCCAGAATCGCTGCTGCAAGCTGGGGGACTCCCTCAGTTACAACCTTAACACTCTGAGCGATACTGGCTAGTTATTTTGTCCCTGTTTCAGTTTATCTAGTGCTTCCTTGAAATTAAATTCGAGTTATGTGTTTTGGCAAGAAAACCAAGGCACCTGAGGCGACACATGTCGGCCCTACTGTGACGTCACCGTCTCTCCTGCCTTTGTTAAGAGGGACTGTGTGTGTGCTACTCGGAGGCTAGGTGAAGCCCTCCTTCCAGGCACACGGTTCTCTGCTCAAGTCAGCCTGTCAGTGAGGACCCATGCCTGAAGCCCAATTCTGAGGCCTTCCTGGTCTGAAGTAAGTAGTACCACATTGGAACTTGGGACACTGAATTTAACTCCACGTGACTCACAACAGAGACCCAAATGAAAAGCAGAAACAGACAGTGCAAATCATATCATTTCTAAAGCGCTAATTCTTTAGGGTGCTCAAGGCTGGGCACTGTGGAAGACAGAGGAGAGGAGCCAGCCAGGAACTGTCACCATAGAAACGTGGGACGGTGGGCTGAGCACGGTCTCTGGAGCCAAACAGAGGGGAGGCAGCAAGCCAGTTCTACCTCAGCTCATCACATGGCCTTGATTGTTTCACTCTCCCAAGCCTCTGTTTCTCTCCATAAGACAGGCATCACGTAGTTCCACTGGCGGGGCAAGAAAGAAACGTGCAGAGCACTCAGCACGCCTGTCATGGGGAAAGCACGTGCCACGTGTTCCCTCCCATACTTATTATGGTGACTGTGAAGTGCACTTATTCTCTCCCACTCTTGGCAGTCTTCAGATGTAACATGCTTATATAATAAATGAATTAAAAGGAGGTTAAAAAAAAGAAGTTCCACTACGACCACCGTGGTTCAGTTGGATGGCCACCTATCCACTGTAGACAACAGCAGAAAGACACATTTTATACTCACCTGTATTTTTGACTCCATTGCTTGAAGGGATTGGACCACAGGGATGCAATAGGCGAGAGTTTTACCTTTTAAAAGAGTGCAAAAGCAGTTAAATGGGAAATAGGCTCTGTTCCCCTGAGGCGGTACTAACTTCTAGAGGGTACACTGCCTAGCTTACAGCTGAGAGAGGGGAGAAGGAACTTCAGCTCTGCCACAACCCCTCATTTTGCCTTGTAAATTCAATATTTCTAAACACCAGGGGGCCGGGGAGATGGCTCAGTGGAATAAGCACTTCCCTGGCAAGCGCAGGGGCCTGAGTTCAATCCCCGGTTCCGAATAAATAAATAAATAAATAAATAAATAAATAACATGAAGCTTTAGCTCCTTTATCAACCCAGCAACTGAGGTGACTTCATTTTTTGAATTACACAAATGCTCCATGGCTGTATGCTGAAGCTGGACAATTCCTCTCTGAAGTCCCTTTTAACATCTCAGATGAATTTTGGGGCTTAATTACATGTCCTCTGCAGTGTACATGGCTAGCATGCACCCTGGAGCCAGTGTCCACAGACAGAGAAACCACAGGAAGACAGAAGCTCTGGCTTTCCTGCCCCTCCACGTGCCTAGGCCACCAGGAGTGGACAATAGCTGCCCTGACAGGACCCAGAGGGCTGAGGGCTGGAGCAGCAGTCCAGGCAGACAGGGTTCCATTTCCAACACCATGAGTGCACCCAAGCAGCATGGTACATACTCACGGCAGAATGTTTTAGTACCAGAATGGTCACCCTTGACCAGAACGGACGTGGGCATGGGCGGCCGTGGCCAGGGACGGAGGGAAGTGGCAAAGCCATGAAATGGGTTCTGCGGAAATAAAGGCAGCGGCCAAGGTGTGCTAATCACTCCTGGCCACTCCCCACCTGCCATGCCTGTCCTCCACTATGCCAACAAATTCAAGACTCTAATCAGAAACCAGCACAGCTTCCTCCCCCAAAGCAAGACGAAGGGCCACAGACCCTGCCCTTTGAGCCTACCAAATGATCATGGGCCTCAGGCCACAGGAAGAAGGACAGAGATTAAACAGCAACTGACCTGAGCCCGTCTGGGACCGCACGAGGGCATCTCTGCCTTCCAGCAACACAGGAATACTTTGCTTCTGAACACTGGGGCCACCCAAAAGAGAGACACATCTCATCTGTAACATATGGTCAGTTACGTGTCCAGATAGGCAGGCTGCATGGCCCACCATTGACTTCTCCACCAACTGCCCTTTTAGAGGTGCTGGGAAACTTCTGACGACTGGGATAAATCCCCAGCTATACTTCTTAGCTAAACTGGTGAGAAGCCAGAGATTAGCCACTGTATTAAACTCATTTTTTTAAAGTGGACAGACACAAGAATTCAGTTACCACTGAAATAGGCCTACCCTCTTATCTTCTGTATTACAGAACACGGGACCCAATAAAACACAGGCGAGACTTCAATGCACAGGAACCAAAGGATGCTTGCAAGCTATCTAGACAGCAGCACCTGTCCACTCTCCTGCTGTCACTGACACACGGAAGCATGTGTCCATGTGTGTATTTGAAACGAGACCACATAAAAAGGACAGAGAAATCATTTCAATTTGGTTGATAAAAAAAGCAAACAAAGAACTGCTGGTGGGAGCGCCCTAATTTCTTCTTCCACGTTATCTTTACTCCTAACTGTAAGAAGTGACCATTACTAACACGTACTGGGCACACATACTCAATAACAGGAAGCGCACCTGTCCCCATACCTCCCCCTTTTCTATCTTCCAAGAGTCATCACTATAAGTAACAAAAATCTAAAACATCATTTCAGTATCCCATTATATCCAGCTGAACATTTACTTGTCTTTGGTTGATCCTAATTCATACTGCTAAGAAATAACATGACCAAATTCCGCATTTCGGCCAAATGACTTTCAGAAAAGCACAGAAAATGCAGAACTAGATGGAAACCTAGTCTTTCCATGTCAAAAAGGGGTAGGGGGGACCCAAATGGCAAAAAAAGCAATGCCAAAGCCTCTATGGCCCCTATCTTGGCACTATTTCCAGTGCCCAGATACCAACTTCCTCTGCCAGGTAGTGTGGACCTCATCTGATTGTGCTCACTTAAGCCTTAAGAAAACCCAGAGTAGCCTAGAACTTACCTGGTCATAGTGGACACTTTTAAGACTGCGTTTATTGTAGAAATCTAAAGGAAAAGATGAAAAGTATTTTTTATCAACTTTTTGATACACACATATATAATGGAAATGACACACAAAAGGACATCATACTGGGATTGCACTGATTGGCATGATCAAATTCGTTGCCCCAACCTAGTGCTTCCCAAGGGGGGGTGATTCTACCCCTCTCGGGATGCATGGCATGGTTTGAAACTATCCTGGTTAATACAGGTAGAAAGCTGAGATACAGCGGGCAGAGGCCCAGGATGCTGCTAAATGTCTAACAATGGACAGGGCTATCCCCTTAACAATGAATTACCTGGTCCAAAACGTCTGTTTTACTAAGGCTGAAATTACCTGCTCCACCTTTAGGCAAGAAAAGCACCCTGTGGAGTCTGTCCTAAAGGAGGAGTGCATAAACTGCACCCACTCAAAACAAAAGAGACCAAGGCTTTCAAAAATTAATAGACATCCCCCCTTTTGTTATCTACATTAAGTCTAGAATACTCATTCATGATATTAAAATGAAAGAAAAGAATGCATTCAAAGGAGCCTCTTCCTCTCTACAACTCCACAGCCAGCAGCAAGAAGGCAGCTCAGGTCCTCTGTTCTGGCCATTATGCCACCTGCTGCAACCTATCCAGCAGGTAGGAAGCTGGTCTAAGTCTAATTAGTGAAGTCCTGGTGCTATATTGCATTAGGGGAGTAAAGCCTGCACTAGGGAAAAAGGGTTGGGGCAGCAAGCAGTGACCGCTGCACACCTGAGCTGCTCTAGCAGAAGGTGCTGTCTATCTAGGAGCAGGGACAGGCACCGACACCCCCTCCCCATGCACACACCCCCCAACCACCCAGCCCACACGCACGGCGGGATACTCACGAGATGAGGGTGCAGGCCCAGCTCGTGGAAAGCCTCAGGAGTGAACACTGGCTCTCGTGCTTGCTTTACCACAGGTCTGCAAAACCCAGACGGCAGTGCCAGTGTCAGCAGAGGAAGCAGCAGAACACACACAGCTGCTTCCGGTACAGAGGAGCACCTGCACATACCTGTGGAGTTCTGGAATTTCAGGGTTGTTTTTAAACAACGATGAAGTCTTAATGCACAGTTTTTCCTCTTGCTTTCTGTCACCTGCATTAGCCGAATGCTTTGTAGGAGAAAAAATGTTCTGTGACTTCCCCTTGAAAGCCCTTTGAGTTTCTTTCACACTAGTTTTCTTGGCTGAGAAAAAGGATGTTTCCTTCTTCCGTTTGGCTGGGGGGGCTCCGCTGGACACTCGGTGCTTCCTCTTGGTAGCCTTTGCTTGCTGCGTTGTTCCCAAAAGGAAAGATCAAGAAGAGATGCATTAGTCCATGAAGACAGACCTCAGAGTGAAGCCTGACTGCCCACAGCATCGCATCTCTTCCTGCAGAGATCATTATACCCCATATGCCAAGCAAGTTCAGGGTTGCAATCAGATCCTCTCAGCTTTTTCCAAAAAGAAAAAGAGAAAAAGACCTTACCACCTCTCTTAACTATTAAATCACCCACGATGACAGCAAGGGTCAGAAAGGCAGAGCCATTTTTCGAGCTGCTCTCCAATGAAGTCTGTCTTATGGGAAAACCTTCCACCCAGTGAGGGGCACACACCAAATCACCCCACACCCCCAGCAACCCACCTGTGCCAGCAGAGGCTGGAGAGACCAATCTCCGCTCTCATCAACAAAGCACGTGGAGACTACAACAGGGGAGAGATGCACAGAAGCCGGGTCCCAGCTCACGCCCAGGAGGCGGGAACCTTCATCACCACTCCACCCTAGTGCTCGGATCTCTGTCCTCTACCCTCAAGCTGCTCCTCCAGATTCCGATGGGCTGCAGACGGTCAGTACCTACAGCTCCCATGCCAAAGGAGAATGCAGCTCCATCCATCACTTCCATCACCCTACTTCCAGCCCACCTTGCCTTTTGCTGATCACAGGCTGTACACCATCAGGCCTGTCTTGCCGGGTGCTCATCTCCCCTAATGTCAAAATGATTCAATGCAAGACAGCCTCACTTCCCTGGAGGAAAAACCCTGGTCCTTCATTTTACTGGCTTTTTCTTCCCTTTCACACAACAGCACGTATAAGAGCACCCCTTAAGTAGCCAGCGCTAGGCAGTCTGCAGTTTTGGAATAGGTTCTCTTTCTCTTTGCTCAGAATAATGCAGCACTGCAAGGAGACAAGATGGAAGACAAGGTGACTTTGCAACTTGGAAGAGACAGACACTCCCATATGGGCCACACCTCAAGACCAAGACAAGAGGAAACACAGCTACACACTTCCCTAGGGATGGGCATCAGGGATTGATATTCTAAATAGGTATCAATCACCTTGAAAGAGCCCAAATGAGTCACTAGCCCAGTCCCCAACAAGAGACCCTGTCTTACATTCTTGCCCAATTGCTACGTGACTCGCTTCCCCATTTGGTACTGGATTTAATCAATTTTACCTGAGCAATGGTGCTTGTAATCTCATTGGTTGACCCTAGTTTTGTCCCACCTCATACCCACCTAAGCGAGTTCCCATGTCTTTTCCACCACCTTAGACCTGCCTCACCACATGGTTTTCCTCTGTAAAAGTCCCTGGAAGAAACCGTTTTCTGGGGACAACTTGCTCGGGCCCCTCTCCTGTTCCTCTCTTGGACGAGAGCTTTCTTTCTCTCAATAAATATATTCTGCTCATAAAAAAAAACAAACAAAAAAAAAAAAACAATGGAGCATGTTTGCATGCTGGCTTGCTTTACCCACGACTGTGGGCTTCACAATATCTTATCTTACCAATAAAAACAATCGTTCTTTTGTCCTGACAGCCATAAATGCTCCTTTAAGAACTTAAATAAATACAACTTAAATATTTAACATCAGGGGCTGGGGAGATGGCTCAGTGGAATAAGCACTTCCCTGGCAAGTGCAAGGGCCTGAGCTCAATCCCTGGTTCCGCCAAAAAAAAAAAAAAAAAAAAAAGAGAAAACATTTAACGTCAGAAAGCACTTGCTTACTTTACAAAAGTTCAAAGTTTATGAATTTCTAGAATTAAAAAAAGAGTGGAAGCTTCAGGTTGATTCATTTGTAAGACAATACAAAATGTTTGGATTTTTCCCAATTTACACACCAGGAGAGGCATACGAGGGAGGACTGGCAGGGAGGCCATTCCTATCCCAGAGGATTTCCCCCCATGGTTACCTGGCAGGTGGTTTCGGGGCCCACGCCTGCGCTTCCTGTCCTGCTCCTGGAAAACCCTAGGAAGCCCTTCCACCACTCAGGCAAGCCAGCTGCCTGAAATGTCTGTCTTCCACTGAGGCACGTCTCCTGCAGTGCCACAGAACAGGCTCTCTTCGTGGATACAACATTGCTGAATAGTGTAGAACTCCTTCTCCTTTATTCTCAGGACTTAGGACTCCAAACAGGACACAAAGTTTAGACGTCTAATCATGTTGGTCAACATTTAGTCCTCTGTCAACATCCCTAAGCAGAAGTACTCAGAGTGAAGAACATTAGACAGGTGTACCTCGGCTCCGAGAACAAAGAGAAAATGTGGGACGCCTGCGAAGCCCTCCAGAACACCACAGTCTTTGCCCATCTCTCCAGATCAGTTTCCCTGACCACCTCTCTCCAATGCATCAAGCCAACTTCCCTGTTTCTGGCTCTCCAGGACCCCTTACTTGCCCCTGTAGCAGTGAGCACAATACTAGCAAAGCATGCAATTCTTCAATGCACTCACCTGCCACATTCAATTGTAAACTCTAAGAGGGACCAGTCAGTCCCACTGCAAAAAACGCATGCCGGGCACACCAGGAACACTCAATAAATATTTGCTAGAATAAGGAATGACACAATGGAACTTTCCACAATCTGGATACTATCCTCGTTTTTCTCCTCCAGCAACTGTAACACATTCACTCAGCACTTGTGAAAAGTCTCTTGGTTCAGGGCTGGGGAGATGGCTGGGTGGTCTAAGCGCCTGCCTGGCTGGCAAGGGCAAGGATCAAGGTTCGATGCCCAGTACCAAATGCTGCGCCGGTCACCATGGCGCTCACCTACAAGCCCGGTGCTGGGGAGGCTGAGAGAGACCCTGCACCAAAGACATGAATAAATAGAACATTCAAAACAATTTTTATATTTATTTATTTATTTATTTAGTGGTACTGGGGATTGAACTCAAGACCCTGAGCTTGCCAGGCAAGTGCTTACTCTACTAAGCTATCTCCCCAGCTCGAAACAATTTTTTAAAAAAATTTTGGCAGGCCTGGGAGATGGCTCAGTAGAATAAGTGCTTCCCTGGCAAGCACAAGGACCTGAGTTCAATCCCCGGTTCCGCAAAACAAATAAATAAAATTTAAAAATCTCTTGGTTCTGAAGATTCAAACCTGAAAAATTAGCTAATGCTAAATCCTTGAAGTAACAGACAAGCAGTAGAGGTAAAAGTGTAGTCTTAAGTCCAAACCTTTATATAACCGAGGTAAGTGCCGAAGGGGGAAAAGGGAAGTAAACTCTGTTTATGCTAAGATGACCTCTGAGCAAAGAGCTCCCTGATCTACTTAAAATCAGCTGTGCAGCACCAAGCAAGTCACTTCCCTCAGAGGCTGTCTGCACGGCTGTGAAAGGCAGGGGCCCTGGCAAATGATCTCAAGGGCACACCTGGCCAGGAACCTGGCGCCAGTCTCCGGCATGAATGAACACACTGGGCAGTGGGCAACATACTGTGTGCCATGCAGTCTGTTGAGCTTTGCAACAATTATCTGTTAACATAGCTAGTGGCATCATTTTATGATGAGAGCACCCGGGCACAGATGCTCTAATGCCCACGTTCCTGATAACATGGCTGTCACGCCTTCTTAACAGCATCCTGTTTAGTTATAAAACATCATCCGTGCCAGGCCTGGTAGCACACGCCTGTAATCCCAGCATTCAGGAGGCAGAGGCAAGAGCACAGGTGAAAGTTTGAGGCCAGCCTGGACTACATGGTAAATTCAAGGTCGACCTGAACCACATAGCCAAACTCAGTTTGAAAAAAACAAAACCAGGGCCAGGGAGATAGCTCAGCGGTCTAAGTGCCTGCCTGGCAAGCATAGGGACTGGGGTTCCATCCTGGGAACAACATGCAGGGTGGGCCTCAGAACCAGGTGTGGTAGAACCAGGTGTGGTAGCGCAGGCCTTTAATTCTAGCGCTGTGGAGGCTGAAACAGGAGGAGCACTAGGAGTCTGATCTGCACAGTGAGACCCTGTACCAATACATAAAATTAAAAGAAAGCAAAATATAGTCATGTGTGGTTTGATGGCTGCTTCCAGAAGGACATATTCCAAAATGTGGATAGGAGTTACCTCTGAGAGTGGCAATTATTTTCTTTCCAAATTTTCTAAAATGACTTTATATTAACTTTTTTTTTTTGCTTTTTTTTTTTTTTTTTTGCGGAACTGGGGATTGACCTCAGGCCCTTGAGCTTGCCAGGCAAGCGCTTATCCTACTGAGCTATCTCCCCAGCCCCAACTTTTTTTAAAAAACATTTATTTATGTGTGTGTGTGTGTGTGTGTGTGTGTGTGTGGCCAGCTCAGCCCACCAGGGGGCGGGGCGGGCTGGCATGTGGGGCTGGGGATTGAACTGCGGTCCCTGTGCTTTGCTAAGCTTGTTCTAAGTGGGTGCTTTAGACCACTGAGCCATCTCACCAGTCCCCCAGCCCCAACTTTGTATTAACTTAATCAGAAAACATTCTTAGAAGGAAAATATTCCAGAGTTAGACATAACAGCATAATTTAAACTGTCAAGATCTTTCCAAAACCAGTATATCAGCCACACATCCTGAGTCCAGGCTACTAGCAAACCTGATCAAATCCAATCATTTCCATTCAAGGCATAAACCATAACACAGATGCAGGAAAGCCCACCACTGATACCTGTTCTCACCATTAAGAAACCTCTTGTGGTCCACTGGTTTGAGCAGTCACAAAGCCAAATACCCTGGTTATTTACTTAATCTACTCAATAGAGCTCTGTGTATTGGTTAGGCCCTGTGCAAGAGGCCAGCAAGCACCTCACCACCTCCTGAGGCAGTAAAATGGGACTCAGAATGGAGCCAATTATCACTTCATTTCATCACTGGCACTTAAGGGTAAGTCACTCTCTGGGCCTGACAAGGCATAAGAGCTCTGCACATGATCTAGTGGATCCTCACAATAATCTCATTGTTATGGGTTGCTCAGAATAGGAACCAGATCAGCCAGATTGTAATTTGGAAAGCGGTTTATTACTGAGCTCAGGTGCCCCCCCCCCTCGGTCTGATCTCACGCAGGAGAGGACTGAAAAGGCAGCTAGCCAAGGAAGCAGGGGGGCTTTTTAAAACATGAAATGCTTTCAGGGTCACCCCACCACTACCCAAACTAAATTTCCTGGGGCTGTGTTTTAGTTTCTCCTTATCTTGCACCTGAGGACCTGCAGGCAGCCTTGCATAGCCCGAGGTTACAAGAAATCAAATCCCATTTAGTTTCCTTTTGAAGTCATCTCTGTAATCTAACTTTGTTTACAGGGATTGGTTAGGTAGGAATTTTATCTAGCAAACAGCAAGTAACAGCCACTATTTACTAAACTTAGAACAGTGGTGAGTATACATTTTTACACAACAGAAAACACAAGATTTACATTTATATAATCTAAAATGTGAGTTGACCCATTTCACTTACATGAAGAAACTTTTGTTCTCATTTATAGGTAGGGAAAGTGAAGGTCAGGAGTTAAATAATGTCCCCAGGTCATACAGCTAGTATACACCTATATATGACAAGCCTGGTATCTAATCCCAGGTCTAAATCACAACCCAAGTTCCCCATGTGCTTCTACAGAAATACTCTTCCTCCTCCATAGGTTCAGCTACACCACTGGCTGGTTGAGAACTCCTTACTCCCAAGCATTTAAATCTTAAAACTGATGTTTAAAAAATCACCAAAGAGAATCTAATTGAGACTGAGTGCTGGCTGGCACGAGATCATATGAAGTCAAAGAATTTCATCTTCAAACTGGTTCCCCTGAACTGACTCTTCAGCAACTATTTTTTTCACTTTTTGCTTTGCTTTTCAGGAAGAAAGAAACCCCCAGGCCATCCTTGGTACCAGACTGTTTCTTTACTGTTCTTTGGTAATTCATGACTTCACAACAAACTTTCTACCCTGCTGTCTGCTTTGAAAACATCTTTCTCCTCTCTGGTAAAGGGATTACACTGATGAGTTGTGTTTTCTGTCTTCTTACCCTGTACAAGGATGCAGATCTACCCAGTCTTTAAAAGCTCTTGATTTCAGCCCTCATTCCTAAAACCCGACCCTTTGGTTAGGGTGATGGAAACTGGCTCAAGAAGTCAAGTTGTTATAACCTATGTAACCGTCTCCATTTTGTAACTAGAACAGCTACTTTGTTATATAAAAGTCTGTACGTTTCTGTTATAACCTATGCGATTGACTCCAATTTGTAACCAGAATAGCCATTCTATTACACACCTCTGTATGTTTCCACTGTGGCCTCGATATCGAGACCTGTTTGTTATAAGCTGACAACTTAAACTCCACCTTGGGGCTCAAGCCATCCGTCGGACCTCTGAACAGTTTGTTAAGGTTCAAACTATTCCTTTGTTCTTAACCACAGATTGTTAGAAGCAATCTGCACAATGTATCCTGTGATCATCCCCCATATGCTAAGGTAATGATTATTTGTTCTAAGATATAACCCCCTCCCTTTCCCAAAACTATCTCGATATCCACCTTGTGACATCCCGCGATCAACACCAGGCCATAAAATGTTTGTTCCTGAAAACTGTAACCACATGTTGAAAGACTGTAACCTGTTTCCCGTATATGACCTGGACCCCTGTGCGGCGTTTCTCTCGCGCTCAAGTTACAAGACCTCCCCCTTCGCGGTTTTCAACTTTAAAAACCCTCGTCTCTCCCCACCCGGGCGCGCACGTACTTGGAGACCGAGAGCGCGAGCCGCCGCTGAGCTCAGCTACATAATGCGCTCCTGAGTCCGGCTTTTGATTTTTGGGTTGCAACAAAGTGAGCTGGGGAGGCCGAAGGCTCGCAGCCCTCGCCGGGTCTCCCGAGCCCTCCGAGCCAGCTCCACGCGCCCACCCCCGGTCCCCCCAGCGTCCCCGCGGCGGCGCGCCCCTCCCAAACACGTGTTTCCGAGCAGCTCCTCCACGAGCCACCGGGGGACCCCCTCGTCCTCCAGACTCCGTGCCGGACTCGAACCCAGCGGCAGCGGCGCTGGCCGGAACTCACCCTCCGCGCCTGCATGCCAGGCGCTCCCCGGGCCGCCGCGGGGCTGGCGGCCATGACGGCGGGGCGCGGAGCCGC